TTATTTTATATGCCACACACACACACACACACACACACACAAAAGGTATCTCACACTACCGTACAATACTTTTATAGCGTATTCTAGAGATAAAGCAGAGTAAAAAAATCCTAATAAAAATAAAAATGTCGAAGCTATAATAGTTTTTGAATTATAATTGATCAAAGATAGTTTGTAATTCAAAAACTATTATAGCCTCAACATTTTCGTATTAGAATTTTCGTCTTAAAAGAATCTAGAAATAATAATAGAAATTATAACAGTAAAATAGTTTTTTATTTATAAGCAGATAAAATTCTGTATCTCTATATCATCATAATGACTATCAATTATTAATTTGTCCTCTATTAGCGTTATATTATTATATAAAAAGTGGGTATGCACTTACACTATACTACGCGGTTCCTCAAGATAATAAAGACGAGTGCAAATACCGGAAATTAGTAAAATCACCGCTATCAGGTCAATCTCCAAGCTGATCCTGATTCGAGCATGCACCACATTGTTTGATACAGGTTGTTTTGATTCAATAGAATATGATGAATTTGCTTTATTATTTTCTATCAAAGTAGTATTTGAATCTGTCTGTCCATTCGCCTATAACAAATAAAAATCAATACAGTAATCAACACGATGTAATCAAATCTGATAATTAATTGATCTTGGAAAAAACTTGGAAGCAATGAAAATAGTGGTTCTGAAAAATATATCTGTATAGAAATCTTGAGATCAGAGGTATTATTTAATCAATATGTTTTTATATGAAAAAATTAAGGATTTAAATAGACAGGGTGTCCGGAAAATCGCCCGCGGGCTATGTCTCCACGTGGTGCATCCTGGATAACGCCAAAATATTCCGAAATATAATTATTTGTATTAAAACATTATGAAATAAATTATGATTGTGATTATGAAAAATAAATTACAATTTTTTAAATATAAAAATGGTTATAACTTGGAAATGACTTATTTTCGAATCTATGTTTATATAAGGCTTTTTTCCCTTCTTTTTAGATCTCGAGTCACTTCCCGAAGTATTACGGGCAATTTTCCGAACACTGTGTGTGTGTATATATATATATATATATATATCGATATATATGTAATTATATATATGTAATTTAAATTCTATTTTTTATTATATATAAATGTAATAGATTTTTAATATATTAGATGGAATGTCGTACTTTCAATTTTACATCTTTTGATAAGTTTAAAGTCAATTGTTTCTTCTTTGCAAAAGTAGATTAAGTAGGAG